TCCAACAACACGCCCCAGAAAGCCAGGCAGCAGACCGTCTCGGAGACCTTCTCCGAGTCCTCCTCCGACAGCACCCAGTTCAACCAGCCGGCCGGCTACCGGCGAGCCAACAGCGAGGCCTCGTCCAGCGAGGGCCAGTCCAGCCTGTCCAGCCTGGAGAAGCTCATGATGGACTGGAACGAGGCGTCCTCGGCCCCGGGCTACAACTGGAACCAGAGCGTCCTCTTCCAGAGCAACTCCAAGCCCGGACGGGGCCGGCGGAAGAAAGTGGACATGTTCGACACTTCCCACCTGAACTTCTCCTCCTCTTCCTCGTCCTCCTCCGTGTACCCCTCCAAGAGGAGCACGGGGCCCCGGCAGCCCCGGGGCTCCCGCGGCGCTTGCGCCTCCAAGAAGGAGAGGGGGACGGGCAAGGCCAAATTCCCCACCAAGTCCCAGCCGGTGAACCCCCTCTTCCAAGAGAGCACAGACCTGGGCTTAGACTACTACAGCGGGGACAGTAGCATGTCCCCCCTGCCCTCCCAGTCCCGGGGCTTCGGGGTCGGCGAGCGGGACCCCTGCGACTACGCCGGCCCTTACTCCATGAACCCTTCCACCCCTTCCGACGGGACGTTCGTCCAAGGCTTTCAGAGCGACTCTCCCGGCTTGGGGCAGCCGGATTTGGAGAGCAAACACTTCCCTGCCCTCCCTCACCAGCTGGCTGCCCCCGGCCAGCAGACTGTGTTCGAGGCCGGCTTGCAGAAAGCCTTCTCGCCCAACTGCTCCCCGACGCTGGCCTTCAAGGAGGACCTGCGGGCGGGCGACATCCGCAAGCTGCCGGCCTGCGACTCGCTCAAACACAGCATGCCAGGGGGGGCCCTGCCGCACGCCCCGCACATGGCCTGCCGCGACCTCCCCATGCCTCAGCCACACTACGACTCCCCCAGCTGCAAAAACCCCCCGTACTGGTACTCCCCCAACGCCAGCACCCGGAGCCCCTCGTACGACAGCAAAGCGGGGGCCAGCATGCTCGTAGACTTCATGGGCAGGACGGACCCCTCGTGTCTCAACCCCCACTTGACCAGCCCTGGCGGCACCCATCCCTCCAAGGGCGAGAAGGAGCCCTTGGAGATGGCCCGGGCTCACCACCGAGGGCCGTACGCTTGTCCCTTGATCAATGACTTGAATATCTCCCCCGTACCGAGAGACTCAATGCTGCAGCTGCAGGACAACTACAGGTACCCCAGTTTTGCACCCCAAGGGCACCCCGTCATGGCCCCCACCCAGAAGAGCGGGTTTTTGGGTCCAATGGTAGAGCAACACCCCGAGGACACTTTTACGGTCACCTCATTGTAGTGTCAGCTGACGTGCCAACCGGACAACGAGGTTTTGTTACAGGGTAGGTGCCGGCGCCTCTCGGGGCGGGCGGCGGAGGGGGTCCGGGACGCGGGCGGCAAGGCGCCACGTCGGTGCAGCCGGGCGGGCTC